TTCTAGGAGGACGCTTGTTTTTTTCCCACAGTGGACATTTAGTGACCTGAATTTAACCTTGGTTTCGGTACAATAAAGACCAGCTGAAGCCGACTACAAATTGTTATTTGCTATGTTTGAATTAGGAACTACAAAACAGATGATGTCATAAGATCTTTTAATTAGAAATTATAGGAAACAATAATTTATGTTGTCTTATGGACTTTATTAATTTTGGTGAAAAAATTAACATACACCCTGTCCACCTAGTGCGCGTAAGTCCAATATCTAGGTTAATAAAATATAGAACTTAATTTTTTTTCTACAGAGTTGCCTACTTTCCTGAGCTGCATAAAATGAAAATATATTTGCATATACAGGGTGTTCAGTTTTTCCTGGGCAGGTACCAACTTAATTTTTTTTTTATGGAAACCTATATTTTTTATGGCATTATCGAATACTACGTGAAAAATTAACGGGACTTTATGTTATGATCCCTATTAAAATATTGATAGTTATCGAGATAATTGACTTTTCATTTTTTTTCTTATGTTTCGTCACTTCTAGTAGTTGACATAATTATGATTGTATGACAGCTAGAAATTATTTTTTTTCAGAAACTGTAGAGTGAAGATGGCTCTTTCAAAAAACGTATCAAAAGTTGACCTACGATATACAGGGGGCAAAAAAAATCGTGGCAAACCTGATAATTTAAAATTTGAAAAATCTCGACTTTTTCAAATAGTTTTAGGTATGTGTGTTTTATGATTTCATTAGATGCCTTTCTGTAGACCCTACAATTTTTTAATAGTATTCCCTATAACTAAGTTGCGTAGTTTTTGAAAGAAACCCATTTTTATATAAAATACCGGATTTGCGCCCGCTCCTTTGGCTGTATTGTGATTATTTTATTGTTATTATACTTTTCCTATTACCTATTTATCTTTCAGGTTAGAGAACATCTAAATCACGTATATCCAAACCAGTGGTTAGGTCGTGGTGGTCCAGTTACTTGACCCGCACGTTCGCCTGACTTAAATAGTCTGGACTTTTTCTTGTGGGGTTATATCAAGGAGCAAGTATACGAAGTACCACCAACGGATATTCAAGACTTAAAAGAACAGATTCAAAACGAGTTTCTAACTATAACGCCTCAAATGTTAAGAAATGTCCACATTCATTTTCATCGTAGATTAATGCTTTGTGTAGCAAACAACGGTGGACAATTTGAACATTTATTTTAAGTTAGCTTGCGACTATGGTTATTCTTTTTTTCAATATTCTATTCATTCAAATTTTTTAATCTCCAATTTCACTAATAACTTTCCTAACTACAGTAACATTAAAAAAAAATAAGTTGGTACCTGCCCAGAAAAAACTGAACACCCTGTATATGCAAATATATTTTCTTTTATGTAGCTCGGGAAAGTAGGCAACTCTGTAAATTAAGTTATATCTTTTATTAACCTTGATATTGGACTTACGCGCACTAGGTGGACACAGTGTATATTTCCGAGACAGAATGAAAAGAGCAGTTAAATAAATTTAGTTAATATTATTCTCTTACACTCGACACTTTTTTGCATAGTTATTATGAACACTACTTCTTTTTGTGATTTTAGATTTGGTAAATAAGCAATGCAATAAATAATATTATCTAATATTAGCAGCAGCTTAAAACAACAAATTTAGTTACCCAAAATACTGATCGGGTCACATATCCATTTTCTGTGTTGCCAACTGTGGATTATAAGTCATCAATAATTATACCAGTCATTAATTCTCCATAATCTAGAAGCACAAAAATTATTTCTTGAAATCAGGTGAATTATGTTGCGTGGGCCGAAATTTCAGATCTCGTCACGAAAAGTGAAAATATCCGTGACATCATTTTATTTTCGGTTCCATATGAAATAAATTAATGTAGATACAAAAGAACCGGCATATTTCCCAATTTCTCAACGTATAAATAGGATTGTTGCACAAACGCCCGAGAGAAAAGTTTTAAAGAATATCGCATTTCACAGGAATATAAAATCCTTTATTTCTGATGAACTGCGTCAAGGACCAAATAATTTAATATAGGCTAAGGAGACGAATCTCTTGTAAACATTCCTTCGAATACATTGTTTAACTTATATATACATTATTTTATTAATCAAGACGCACGTTAGCATAATAGCAAGCAAATTTGTTTTTGATCACTTGAAGAATACTTTAAAAGGGCAAATGTTTAAGAAAAAGAGAATAATAGTGAAGAAAACATATCATCTGAATCTTTATTGTTACAAAATATTTAACTTTTTAAATCCTTCTAGTTTGAAATTTTTGAACGTAATACGACAGTGGGATTTTTGATGGAATAAGAATAACAAAGTAACATCCAACACGAATATCGAGTGTCAAAAGATTACAACAAATCTTAATTTTGAAACTAGTTTTATGTTATCTCAGTTTAAATTCATTTAATATTCATCATAGTAGATATACCTCACATAAAATTGTCCTTATGGCTATTTTTAACTATGACATCGTGTTGGAGTTATTTATGAATTTTACAAACAGTAGTAAATTAAAAAATTATAGATTGTTTATGCTTGTATAAGTATAATAATTTTATGACACTTTTATTCATGTAACGATACCTATGAACGCGACATTGGTGTTTCCAATTTCCTTTATTTTAATTTTTGCAGACATTTCAATAACGAAAACCAAATCAACTTCTTATGCAAGATGGCTCAATTACCGGGCTAGTTGTCACGTCGTTTTTATACTTCTTGATGTTGCAAGAGACATATGTATTTTCAGAAGAAACTTTGAAACTGGGGATTAAGTCTCCTGGACGGTATTTATATTTGCTGTACGTATCGGTCCATGATTTTTACTTCGAATAGGTAGTTCTAAGCTCTCATTCTCGGTCGAAATTATATGCAGTTTTGTAGATTTTTATGGCTTGTATGTAGAGTGTTGACCAGAATTTTTCGTCTCCAGTAGAATGACAAACTTTGACAGATGGCAGCTGGAAGTTATAAGCAATTTAAAAAATATAATTTCATATTTCAATCAAAGTAGCCTGGTAAATAAAAATTATGGTTGCTATAACAATAATTATTATTTGTGTCATTTTGTTTATTTATTTGATACTTTGTGTTAAAGTGCTACATAAAAAATGTTTATTTACAACTGGAGAGTATCCAGATATTGTCTTTATTTATTTGTTAATTGTTAACATTTAATAATAAGTGTTATTATAGTCAGTCATGTAAATTGTGTTAAATACAACAATCTACACCAATTACTAATGAAACTTTTCGCAATTATTGTTCATCGAACATTCATTATGGTGAATGGGGTCACAATCAACGTTTCTATTATATGCAACACCGATAGAAAAGGGTCAATGGCTATCACAAAAAGCCACTAGTTTAACAAATAGGCAGTAGTTTGTTGTAATGGCTAAATATAATAATTGTTTACATGTTTATGTCATGTACTGGTAACTAGTATCATTCCTATTTTTAGAAACTCCTTTGCTTGTAATTCCATTTCTTGATTTAAAGGTAGGGTGTGATAAATGGAAATATGGCTAGTCACAGAATTCGCGCTAATCAGGTTGACCTTTGATTTTAAACGACGTTATTTTTTTTATAGTTACATTACACCGAGAGTTAGTTTTACCTATCTGTATGTACCTATATAATTACAGGAATAATATCAGCTAGTATAACGGGTGGACCATTTTCAGGAATGGAAAAACAGTTAAATATGAAAAATATCAGACTATTCTTTAAAGGCGCTCAAAGGCCGAGATAATTGAAAAGTACTAACTTTTTCAATTTTATGAATTTCTCAGATCTATAAAAACATTTATCATCACTTTTTGTAAATTATTACACAGCAGATTTGATTGATGAAGAGCTTAAAAATACATTTTTCTATCTCTTATAGTTTCCGAAATCCAAGGACTTACATCATTAAAATAGCCCGCTTGGTATACATGTATAGTGAAATTCTGTCCATGTTGCAATATTTGAGTAATAAATTAAACCCGTGAATTTAGAAACTTAAATATATTATTATACGAAAAATATTCTTTTATATGTGCACATCAATTTTCAAAAAACACATTTTCTCCTGTTTGATGAAATTATTCAATATAACAACACAGAACAACAATAACAGAAAACACTCTGTACGTTCTTATAGCTTATATGTATATTGTTATATATATTTCAATTTCGTGCACTTATTTGAGAGAATGCAAGTAACATAGAATTTCAAAGTAAAGAGAGATCTGTAACACTCACATTTTTAGATTTAGGTTTTTAGAACTTAATTACTGATTTTGCTATATAAATTTGATATGTTATTAAGATTTCAAAGCTATTCATGCTTTAAAAATTGGTATTTATATTTTAGACAGATAAAAATATCACTCCTTATTAGATATTGTATAACATTACATTCATAAGCGTATACTTATTAATTTAATGACAGTATCACCCGGATTATATTTATTAGATAATCCAGATACGACTTAATAAAGTTAATTCGTTATCAAACTAATTTTTAATCTTTCTGAAATATTGTTGTCAAATTGCTTTCCACAGTAAATATGTATATATGTACATAAGTTGAAAAAAATTTGATTTCGTAGGAAGCACTGAAGCAACAGACTTTCCACAATCTAACTATTTAGATAGTATTCAACTCTTTATATAAAAATGAATGAAATCCGGAAAAAGTATTTAAATTGGTATAAAAATCTCAACAGTAAAAATTGTTAATGTATAAAAGAACAGCATTTAAGATTACTGATAAAATTGGAGAAATCTGAAATATAAAAATTTGATGTGACAACTTTACTGAAATTAAACCCATGCTTGTTAGTAAATGAAATGTTGCAGCTTTTTTCTTATGAGTAGTATATGTTTATATTTATATTTTTTAAACAAGCAATATAAATGCAACATTTCACTGCAGATTTAACAAGGTATTTATTTTTTTTATTGTTTCAGATGCCAACATTGTGATTATCGTGGATAAGGCAAAATGGAAGAGAATAAGACATGATATTTAAAAGAAATTTTAGACATCGACGATAGTATTTTAGGTTGTGTGTGATATATTTCGACTGCGAATCTTAAAATGAAGTACATCAATTCAAGCTTAATCACCTTAAAATGTGTTCTGTTCCTATTTTTTGGGGGTAAGAAACTATTTATTTAAATTATTTTTCTATACATCTATAGACAGCCATTAACATATATATTATTATATTATCTACAGGCAAATTTCTACTACATCTTGATAAATATTTTTCAAATTCAAAAAATAATTTTAACTTGCCCTTAAAATATTCTAATTGACAATTTTATGAGATCAGTAATGAAAATTTAGGTAGGTACTAAGTGTGGTAAAACTATTTTATATGTGCCTAAACAAATCTTCATTTTCTAAATATTTCTAATATTTAACTCTCGCAAAATTAGTAAAGAAATTTAATAACAAGCAATTATAGTGACTGATTGATTGTTGAATTATTGATCAGTTTTAATATCAAACTCATGTTTTCGGACGAGCTAGTAATACTTTTTGGAAAGCTTTCCTTTCCAATAATATTTTTGGTAGGTACCTTACGAAAATTATATTTCGAGATATTCTAGCATTTCCAAATATTTGTCTAGATTTGTTACTTCCAGATAATTTCAAATAATACACACCATATCAGATTTGAAGAAAAATACAACAAATTGTATAAAAATAATAGAGATATCTAGTTGAATATACAATGTAGGTACCATAATTCATTAAAATGTTAAAAATATACATCTAAACATGTGAAAGTGCACAATATTGCTTCGGTCTGCATACCTATTTTATTTTTATAAGCTTGTTATAAACATAAAAATAAAAATACTAATTACTTGGCATTTAAATTTATGTCAAGGTAAAGCATACGTTTAAAGTAGTTAGTTTTAGAGGATAATTAATTTCAGTTTCCATTACCACAGTAAATTTAATTTAATAAATAAAAATTGTTCCTAAATATAAACACAATTTGAATAGAATTTGGGAAATGAAGTGGTCTTATATACAGGGTGGCCCAATAGTGTGACAATATCTCCCTTATTATAAAAATTTGAAAAGAAATATTTTATGGGAGTGATGTACCTAAAAAAGTTCAGATTTTAAAAATATTTTGAATTATACAGGGTGATGCATTAGGGCGCAGCATCTTTAAGGTGTTTTTTTCGTAAATGGAACTCTCTATATATTTTGTATTCTACAGAAAATTCTCTTTCCAGCGATGTCTTTGTTTTTTGTATTCCATGCGGTGATGCCAAGTTATTTGAAAAAATAAGATAATTTTCGCTGGGACAGGGTTCTGTAAATATATCCACTGTGCAGGTACTACCAGTAATTAAAAATATATATTTTGTAAGCATGCCGATCAAAGATGTGAACAAACAACAAAATAACAAAATCTTTATAATTTTGTACAGGGTGTTCTACACATAAGCCCCAGTTTAGCGAACTTCGAAGGACATATTCTCGATTTTTTTAAATGAAACACCCGGCATATTATTTTATTTTTGGATTAATATACTAATTACCTACAACTTTTGTAAATAAATGCCCTATGCCTAAAATCAATATTTTCGGAAATATTGGCACTTGCCTAGCAAAACCCCGTTCATTTTGCAAATTTTACTTTTTATTACTCTAGTAGGCCATGAGTTTGCCATTCAAGTAACAAAATTTATAATTTTTCTTTTATCCGCGGACAGTAACAAAATTAAAATCGTTGTCCAGGGCTAACTTGATGGTAATTAAGAAGAAACTGATAAAAACGTAAAATGTATATTTTCTTCGAAATAATAAGTTAGTTCAAACAACAGAAAAATGCTAAATTTAATGATTAACAGTAGATTTTAACAAAATTTAAAAAGAATAAGAAATTACTACAAATGAACAGAATCGAAGAAGTGTTAGTAATAAATTAAATACTTAGTATAAAAAGAAAAGAAATATAAATAGGTACTAACTAAATAAGCAATTTAACTATCTAAGAAAATGTTCAAAGCGTCTTCCGTTAAATTTAAACTCCATCTATTTTGTGAGTGCATTCTCACAAAGTGCGAGTTTTCTGTGGCGAAATAATGAAAATGATGTCGGTTGACATTAACATTCTTATGAAAGGTCGCCTCGTCTCCAAAAAGAACAAAATCTGTAAAATCGCGTTCTATTCTAATTTTGTTTTGAACCCACTCGCAGAACTCTAATCGTCTTCTGCAATATTCATCACTTAATTCCTGCAATAATTGTACATGGTATGGATGCATTTTATTGTCTTTTAATATTCTTTGAACAGATGTTCTTCCAATATCTATTTGAATACATGTTTCTCGTTGACTAATATGAGGGTCTTCAGTGACAGCCAAAAGAACGTTTAATTCGTTTTCTTCAGTGAATGTTCTTATTTTTAACATTTTTACAATAACATAAAATACATTACCGGAATTATCCTTCTCTGTGAATAGCGTTGATGATAAATTCGTGTTGCTAAAAAAGTATTTTTATCACTTGCACCCAATGCATAAATCATATCAACCATTTCTTCTTGAGAAAAGTTCATTTTGAAGTATTTTTAAACTTACAACCCAGCAGTTTACACCACTGACAATTAAACAACAACAGTAATCTTGCAGATTTTGTTATTTTATGTCAAACTCATGGCCTACTAGAGTAATAAAAAGTAAAATTTGTAAAATTAAAAGGGTTTTGCTAGAAAAGTGCCAATATTTCCGAAAATAGTGATTTTAGGCATAGGGTATTACTTACAAAAGTTGTAGGTAATCCAGAAACAAAATAATATACCGGGTGTTTCATTTAAACAAATCCTCCTTCGAAATTCGCTAAACTGGGGCTTATGTGTAGAACACCCTGTGCAAAATTATAAAGATTTTTTTCTTTTGTTATTTGTCCATATCTTTGGTCCGCATGCCAACAAAATATTTTTTTTTAATTATTTTTAATACCTGCACAGTGGATAGATTTACAGAACTCTGTCCCTGAGAAAATTATATTATTTTTTTAAATAACTTAGCATCGCCGCTTCGAATACAAAAAACAAAGACATAGCTGGAAAGAGAATTTTCTGTAGAATACAAATTTTTAAAATATAGAGTGTTCCATTTAATTAAAACCACCTTCAAGATGCTCCGCCCTAATGTCACCATCTTGTATAATTCAAAACATTTTTAAAATGTGAACTTTTTTAGGTACGTCATTACTCCCATAAAATATTTCTATTCAAATCTTTGTCACACTATTGGGCCACCCTGTACTTATATTATCGGATATTAAATATTACGAGTTTTGATAAAAAAGTAACGGGAATTACGTTGGAATAGTTCATCGCGAATTTTTACTGCCCGGTCGTACAGTTAATTCTACCTACAAGTTTGAGTGGGGCTATCAGGAGAAAACGACAAAAACACGAGAGACAACTCGTGGATCTTGCACCACGGCAACGCACACCGCTTTGTTTATCCAATAGTGTTTGGTGAAACAACACCGTTGTACTAATGCCGCAACCATCCTATTCTCCGGACATGACCCTGTTACCTTTTCCTATTTTCCAAACTCAAAAGGATACTCAAAGGACAAGGTTTTTATGAAATAAAGGCAAAATCGCAAACCGTGTTCAAGACGATACCTAAAGAGGCGTTCCACCAGTGTTTCTCAAACTGGAAACTACGTTGGCATAAGTGTACAATATCACAAGGGGATAAAAATTGTAGATTAAATAAATATTTTCTGAGAAAAATTAATAATTCCCGTTACTTTTTGATCAAACATTGTAAATGTCTTTTGACATTATGCATTTGCTTTGTTACATTTCTCTTTAATATCTACTGACTTACCACATTAATACCATGAAAACTTTTTTTGAACCGCTGACTTCACCGATAGCTCTGCCTCTGTTTACAAGTTTTGGCTCACGCCTATTTGGATAACTTGCAGTTTTCATCAGCATTTTCACTCATTATCACCATGTTCATTTAATTCATTCAGTGTTTATTTGCACTTACATATTAATATTCACACTGCACTTTCACAAAAAGAAAACACAGTTAAAATAATCTAGAAAAGTGATTAACTTCGTTTGTTCACTAATAATTTTCACAATGAAATATACTCAATGAAAACTAAAGTGGAATTGATGATTACCCAAAATTGAACTAGCAAATTTTCTGTTTACTACAAAAAAGAACGGACAAACAAGCGTCATTTAAGGTCACAAATATTCACCACTTTTTATGTAGTATGTACGTACGTGCGTGACTATTCCAGAGGTTCTCAATAAGTTTAACATAAATTACCTAACTCATAAAATTTAAGTACTGGAAAATATTAGCATATGTGTAGAAATTTGTATAATTTGAGTTTATGTATAATTTATAAACAAGTTCTTACATGACATCAGACAAGTCTGCAAATTAAATTGCCACTGTTGGAACTAAAATATGTGTTCAATATTTTGCAAATATGCATATATATATACGTACTTAAAATAACCTCTCATCATTTGCTCCAATATGATTCGCCTAACACTTCTTTCATTCTCATTCATTCTTTATATTAAATATAAACGAGTTGAGCTAATATTAAATAAGTATTTGATGTAGAGCTTATAATAAATACAATTTTGAATTTTTCAATATGCAAATTTACATTTATACTTCCATCCAAAAACTTGTTTTGAAAATGTCTGAATATTATTTGAAAAAGTTAAATTTGGAGTGCACAACGTGTATAATCATTACTATTAAATTAAAATTGTATACTTACAGCTATAGGAAGCCTGTTCCCTTTCCTACCTCTCCATATGAACGCGATAGGTCTCGCGGCGAAGGATGAATCTATAACAGTCTCGATAGTAGCCCCCCTGATAGCTACAATCGGGCCCCTCGTAGCTGCCCCGCTAGCGGATAGGTTAGCTGGTGGTTTCGGGGGTGCCCCAAGGAGTAAGACTGGGCGGTACCTTAGGGTCATGATCGCCGTATGCCTGGTACTAGCCACCATCTTTTATTGGCTGTTGCTTGCTATCCCACCAATTGTGAGTATTTTTTAATTTATTCTATTTTCCATTTTAATTTTTACGTATTTCTAATGAAGCAGACATTTTTAATACCAATTACTTAGGCATGTTAGGAAAATATTTTTATAGTCAAGTTCTTATCTTGTTTAGTTAAGAAGTCCACCCAACGTATCTTTTGCATGTGATGAACAAGGAGGATTTATTCTACAAGATCGGTGTGGAGCTGACAGGATATGTTATAATTGGGGATCAACGGTAAGTAAAATTGGGGTTATCAAACCATATGAAGGAAAGCGTAAAAATAATTGTTTAGAAATATCAGGGTGCTTTTAGAAAATATCATTATTTGACATAGTCCTCCTACTTCATAACACTTGGTTTACTTGGTAACACTTGGTCCATAATCTTGTGAATGCCCCAAATTAGTAGAGTGGGGAACAGAGCTCTTATGGGCCACCTACTGTCTGTATTAACATCTAATTTTCCATTTCATTTCCATCCATAAGGCCAAGGTGGTTTGTAAAGGGCCTCCGCACATTTGTGGACATGTTTACTAAATCTAGATATGTTAAAAATTAGGGGAGAAAATAAATAATTCTGTTACTCAACAACTTTTTCTAATATACAATTTTTGGAAGAAATATATTTAATATGTACCTTCAATTATTTCAGTTACGTTTCAGTATCTTACAAATTCCTACAAGTAGTTATATTTTATAACATTTTTACAAATATTTCTCGTTGCAGAAAGGTTCAGTTTTGGTAAAGAAATGCCAATTTTCTTGTAACGCCTCGTCTTCTTACTCTGGCGAATATACAACACCATATTCCGAAGAAGAGGGAGTCTCTGAAGCTCCTGAATACTTTGAATCTGGTGAAGCAGATCAACCTACTGACCCTATTGAAGCACAAGCCTTGGTAATTTTTTAATGATGAAGTGCATAGTATAATAATCGATATCACTTCTTCTTTTAGGTGTTCAATGATACTCAACCCAGCAAAAAAGAAGTTCATTTCATTCCACACCCCCACATGTGCTACAAAAATAGCAGTGGGGAAGAAATTTGTGAGGTGTACACTGAATTCACCAAACAGATACATTTCTCAATTGGGCTAAAGCCCACAATAACGAGTGAAGACGACGAAGATGACACTTGCAAATATCCATTTGGTATGCTGAATTAAATTAATTGAAACTATTTTTTCTATAAAATGTACATTTTCAGCTGATTATTTCCACTGCAGGATAAATCCTGGTGTGGTTGACAATCTAACCAGTATACAAATGGATTGCCACCCTGTAGTTGTATGTGAAATCCATAATCCTTATACAAACGAAAACAGTCTCCTGAAGAGATCCCAGTGTGGCTATGACAATATCAGCTTTTGGTTGTACCTGCTCATCAGATCTTTCGCCGATATATTTCCCGCGGCAGCTGTTACCCTCTTAGCAACGGCCGTAGTGATAGCTACTAGGGAAACGTCAACAGGTAATAGAACTATGACTACAGTATTCAGCTGTAATCCTGTGGCCTACAAAGTACAGATTTGAATTTTTTTCAGGTAGAGGTGATATTGGAAAACAATTTGCAGCTGGCGCTTTAGGATTTGGTATATTTGCTCCAATCATAGGAGGAGCTGCTGCTGGAATATACCTATATGCTATGATCAGCTTCACGGTATTAATGGCTATTGCCGTTATTATTTTATTAGTCGATTTGTAAGTACTATTAAATTTGAACTTTTTTGACTAAATAATTTTATCGGATCATAAATAAGTCAATTATTTTGTAAGAATTTCTCAACATTAATGAAAAGTTGAGTCTGACTCGTCTGACTTCCTTCCATTTAAATAAATAAGTATTTGTGCAAAACTTTAGTAACTTTGATTTTCACCTCTGTTCCGGTGATAAACATATGCAGTATCGTTTGCTTTGTCATGGTTTTTAGATATAAAATTTTATACAGGGTGTCCGGTAAGTACCTCCTAATCTCTCGGGAGTGTATAGGAATAAAATTTACGTACGTTGTATTACACATGGAGCTCTACGATTTGATGCTAAAATCAACTTTTTGCTATTATCAGGTGTCCAGAAACGGACTGGCCCTATCACAATTTTTCTCAAAATTTTGACAGAAGTAATTTTATCAAACTGAAAATATTATTATTAGATACTCTGAAGGTTTTTCTTTAAAAATGGTACTCTTTATTTATTTCGAAAAAATGAACGGTTTGCGAGATAAATCGGTTTTGAAAAAAATTGGTAACAAATACAACAACAATTAAAATTTATTTTTTTACAATAAAATCATTCCCGCTAGTGCCAGCCTACAGATTCACCATAAACATTTACTGGTGGTGAATTAAGGGAATGAATAATGCCGTTTCTTGTAAAATCAACATCTATGACCAAAATACATCTACAAATTATTATTGCTCTTGTCTCCATGGAGTTCTTTTCTATTGTTTTCGTTGTTAGACCCTGTTGATTTTAAAGTACTTGTCAAAGGCGCGTGACAGAATAAAAATTCAATTTTATTGTGGTATTCGTTTTAAGCCGTTAGAAATAACATTTAAAAATGGAAGAATATTCCTGTGCAGAATATGCTGATATGCACCTAATTTATGGGGAAGCATTATGCAACTCCGTGGAGGCAAGAAGACTTTATGAGGAAAGGTTTCCGGGTCGACATTTGCCGAGTCCAAAAACTTTTGAAAGAGTTGATCGTAGTTTAAGAGAAACAGGTAAAAAAAAATAGTGAAAAACGTTAGTGAAACTAATTTCTTCCGAATCCTTTATTTAGGAAGCTTTTTGCCACGCCGTGGTGGAGCAGGAGCCCCGAGGAGAGTACGAGACCCTCATGTAGAGGAACAAATATTGGAAGACGTTGCTAATAATCCTTCAAATAGCATAAGGAAGCTTGCGGCGCAAAACAATGTTACAAAATGGGCTGTACATGAAACTCTGAAAGAACAATTGCTTTACCCGTACCACATCCAAAAAGTACATGCTATGTCTCCAGATGATTATCCAAAAAGACTTCAATACGCCAATTGGTTTTTACAGCATCATATTCGGAATCATAATTTTGGTACATCTATTTTGTTCACCGATGAAGCAGGTTTTACAAGAGACGGCATAATTAATTCGCATAATCTACATGTCTGGGATGAAGAAAACCCTCACGCTTTAGTTCAAACTCGCTACCAACAAAGGTTTATGGTGAATGTGTGGGCTGGCATTATCGGGAATCATTTGATTGGTCCATTTATTCTGGAGCAAAGACTTAATGGTGCTCTTTATTTGCAATTTTTAGAGGAAAATCTAAATATTTTGTTAGAAGAAGTGCCCCTTCAAATAAGAACTGAAATGTGGTACATGCATGACGGTGCACCACCCCACTTTGATCGTTTAGTACGTCAACATCTGACGAATGTTTTTGGTGATCGATGGATAGGTCGAGGCGGACCTGTATTATGGCCACCTAGGTCGCCCGACCTAAACCCATTAGACTTTTTTCTGTGGGGTCATTTAAAAAATAACGTTTATTCAACACCCGTAAATAGTAGAGAGGAACTTCTGCTGAGGCTAACACAGAACTGTGACCATCTCCGCAATAATCACGGAATATTATTTCAAGTGCACCGGGAAAACATTCGTAGGATTAGAAAGTGCATTGAAGTACGGGGTGCTCATTTTGAACATCTACCGAAGTAACATTTAGGTACCTTTGTTCATTGTTGAATGTTCTTTGTTGCATGTCTTGTAAGTAAGTTATTTTTCAAATGTTATTTTTAATTGGTCACTACTTGCTCATAAAGTATAGCCAACCCGTTCAAAGATTTCTGGACTTGATAAAGTTAAAGAAATTAAATGCATGAAATAATATGTAAAAAAAATAAATTTTAATTGTTGTATTTGTTACCAATTTTTTTCAAAACCGATTTATCTCGCAAACCGTTCATTTTTTCGAAATAAATAAAGAGTACCATTTTTAAAGAAAAACCTTCAGAGTATCTAATAATAATATTTTCAGTTTGATAAAATTACTTCTGTCAAAATTTTGAGAAAAATTGTGATAGGGCCAGTCCGTTTCTGGACACCTGATAATAGCAAAAAGTTGATTTTAGCATCAAATCGTAGAGCTCCATGTGTAATACAACGTACGAAAATTTTATTAAAATATACAGGGTGGTTTCAAAGTTATAACCCTAAACGTTAATTTCTAGGTACCCCTTTGACCCCCCATAACTCCGTTAGGGGGCACATTAGGAAAAAAAATTATAGGAAGGACTAGTTTTATTTTGACCTTCCCTATACACTCCCGAGAGATTAGGAGGTACTTACCGGACACCCTGTATACCTTTAAAAAAAACTATTCAGCATTACAGCAATAATTTTTTTTTAGTAAAATGCCATTAAGTCCTCCAGAATGGTGGTGGCACACCAGATGTGGCTTACTGGCACTGCCGATGTCTTCTGTAAGAAAATACGGATTGGAGATAGCAGCTCTTGGTGTTGTTTTGTTCTTCCTTGGTGTTTTCTGGAATGCTATCGACACATTCTTACCTTGGTAATATGCAACTACAAGTGATGTTTATTCTATATATATAGCATCCCTATAATTCTTCCTATTGTAGGCATGTTGTGAAAATTGAAGAGGGCGAACCCCTTGACATTGGTTTGACGGTAACAGTAGGAGCAATACCTGCTGTGTTCTTCTTGATATTTGCGGAACGGATCGTTGACTATTGCGGGCATTCCAATATCCTAATATTTTGTTTTGTGAATTATATATGTCACCATTTAGGTAAGACACACCTTCTAGAGCAAGTGCAGATTCTAATGTAACTTTTTTAGCTCTCATGTTCATCGAAAATGCCTCTTACATCCTCCTATGTGAATGGATGGAAATTTTCACGTTGCATATTATGTATATAACGTCCGTCTTATATTTGAGGCATTTGGTGCCTCGCAAATTTACTTCTTGTGGTCAAGCACTGCCAATTATTGCTCACTTTTGTTTAGGTAAGTGGTTTGTTTCATTAAATGTTCTTACAACTGGTTTAAAGTTTTGAAATCAATTTTTTTAATTTTAGGTCGATGTTTCGGTGCTCTTTTTGGAGGGATGGCGTACTCAGAATATCCCAACAATTTCCAAGATGTCCACAGAAGCTTCTGCATCGCTGCCGCAGTTATTGCTATCATTTATTTCCTTGCTTATCATTTCTACATGAAACCAAAATGTGCAGCTCCAGTGCACTTACCACCTGATCCCGCACCGGCTATATTCCAAAGTAAGAGATATTTTTCTTTCAGGATGGTAAACTTAAACAGGGTGGTATACTAAATTTTGTTTAAAAAAGCACATTTCTAGATTATCCAGTTAGAATTGATTGATCTGAGTTTTCTATTAAAAATGGTAATGTTGTTTTATATCGAAAAAGTAATCCGTTTTTGAGAAAAATCGGTTTAAATATGTTATACCACTTCCCAAAGTGTGCTTTTCTAAGCACTTATGAAGGTCTATCATATGTTGGCCTCTGAATTTGAAAATTTCGACAAGCAAAAAAATTGGGGCAAATTTTAGTTGACGACCCCCTTTTTGAAATTTTTGAAAAATTTTAAGATGATCTACTTCAACTTTTAATGAGCGTTCATGGTGTCAAAATTCTTAATTTCCCTTCACTCCATTTCAGAAATATTTAAAAAAAATGATTTTTTTTGAGGTCCCATTTAGGTGGGCGTAGCTCCCTTAGGAAGCATTTCTCGATCAATGTTTATATGAAAAAATATTTCTTATTTTTGGCAATAGAATCAAATGGTAAATTATTGGACAATAATTATGAGATACCCTGTATAAAAGAGATTTTAGATTTAGGAGAAAAATATATTTTTTTTTAATTAAAAAAATACTCTTTTTGGAAAATATGTGGAATTTTAGGTAGATTCAATAATGTTAATTAATATTTAGTTATATAATTACGTTAATTATACAGGGTGTCCCCGAACAAGCTATCTAGTCCATGCAATGGCTAAGCTGAAAAAAAAATTCCAAGTCCGTGCAAGAAAGAAAATTTGCAAAATTTTTTTATCGCGCTATTTCTTAAAATTGCATGATAACTGTAGCTCCTAAAAAATTTCGACCCAAAAGGTCTAAAAATTAGAATTTTAGAACTTCAAAAGGCTTTTTTAATTCCCGATACGACCATTTTTCACCTAAATACAGTCTGTCAAAAATCACGGAAAAATTTCGGAAATCCTTTTGACCCTTTAATTTTTTGCATTAGAGTAGTTACCTATCAGAATGATTATTTGGACAATGTAGTAGTACAGAATTTAGTGCTCGGTAATATTCCACAAAAAAAAAACATTTACTTCTCTTCATATGAATTTAATTAAAATTTCAAAATCTATTTAAAATTAATTAATTTTATAATATGCAAAAAAAATTCTTCAACCATTCCAATGTAATTTTTTGTGTTTTTTTCATTATCGTTGTTAGTTTACTTTTAAACAACATTTGGCATTTGGCAAATTTACTTTTCAAAATCAAAATGTGAATAACCATTTTAATACCTTGATTTTGAATAACTCATTCTTGCTATTTTATTTAGCCCAATGTAAATTTTTAACTAAAATATGCTTGAATTTCTAGATGTGAATGAGAATGGATCTTACACACCTCTGAGGGTATATCACAACAGTAAATCGAAGAAAGGACATTTTAGATATTAGTTATTTATATTTCATATGTGTGTAAAACAGCTTTACCTATTTTTGTAATAAATGATATATTTATATTTATAAGCTTTATTGTATATTTTTTTACTTTTTTGATAGTCTTTCAAGTTATATGGCTGTGGTTCATGTTTCACCACTTTTTTTTTACAAGAATTTGAAGTACATTTCTGTCACTGTTCTCACTTCACTAGTTTTACAATTTCTCTTGGGTTTTATATAAAAAATGCAATTCAAAGAATTGCCATATTCTAGTAAAAATGAAGGAATCAAATACATTGTAGAAATTATTTGAGGAAAATTGGTTTAAAAAAGTTGCTATAAGCAACACAAAAACATGCTCAGTAAAAGCAATTTTTAGTTACCTGTGTAAAACATTAATGTTGTAAATATTCTTATCACTTAAATTTCTGACTCAAAAATAGAAAAATCACTTTTTTTAACATATTCACAGCCATATCTTTCGCAGCTTTGTTAATAGTTACAAACTTTTTAAATAAAACTGTGGTACCTATCTCATAGAAACATGCATCAAATACATGTACATGTTGTTAATTTTGTACACAAATATTTTTGTTTTATATTGTTTTTTTTTTTAATTAATGAACTGTATACAGTTAATGAAATAAATATTTGATGTGTCCATATTTTTCTCTTGTAAAGTTTAAGTTTTTAAGATTGTAGGTAAATATAATTAATTAAATGAATTAAATTATAATTTTATTATACCATAAAGCAGTTGTTCACAAAAGTATGTCTCACAATCTCCTAGGGGCTACAGAAGATGTTGCTGAGATTGCTAAAGATTTTATAAATTGAAAAAATATATATACACATAATTTTATAATTTCAGATTCTTGGAGATGTATAATGCTTTTGTTTTAGTAACAGCTCTCAATGACAAAATAATGTCTCATAAATATTGCAAAGAAGGTTGCAAATGTGTCACAAAATTTGAGAATCCCTTATGCTGGTTCAGGATACACGCTATTTTTTTAAATTCAAAATTGATTGAACTGTGACGAAGAAAATTCTTATTTTTATATTTTATCATGTATATAAAAAAAATTCATAAGCGAGTTGAACTTTCCGCCAACTGGATTCCGTCTTCTAAAAATGGATTATTGTTCATGATTGATAATCATGATCGAATTCCTCTGGAGCAATGATGAATAAAGCATTTGGCTTTTGTGAACATTTTCTCGATTCTGACTGGTATTCCTAAGATCGGGCATTCCAATCTTTTGTTAAAAAAAAATTAGAAAATCAGAAAAAAAATTAAAAATGGAAAACAAAAAAAAATACAAAATAGACAAACAAAATTAAAAAAAAAAATTTTATCACGGAAACTTTTCCATCACACTCATGAGACATGGTGAAAAATGCTGATTAAGTTGCACAGGATAAATTGTTTTGGTAGGACAAGGGATTTGGGGGTAAAATTTGGGGATGGAAATAAACAGAAAAAGGGGAGAAATCGTTTATATTTACACTTTTTTGTTCAAAACCATACTTTTCGAGTAAAACCAATAAGAACATCACTCTAAAATAGTTTTTTTTTAATTTAACTTCCACAACTTTGTTTTACTGAAAGAATACGTTTCAACTCGAGAAAATGTAAATTTGAATAATTTATCTTTTTTATTAGATCTTTTAAGAATTTTTAGTAGTTTCAAATTTTATTATTTTCACCCTCACCCCAAATCTCTTGAACAAATATAGAAGTATTCATCTTTTGGATTCTAAAAGCATTTTCCATCATGTTGAGTAGGTGTGCTCAAAAAAAGAATTTTTCCTTTCGGAATAACAAGGTATATTTTTTTCGGATAAGGTCATTGTCCAAAATCGCAGTGAGTGAAATTTTAACCTAAAAAAGAGGTGATAATTTGATATTAAAATCGTGAATATTGATATGAAAAACTCGTACAAACCCTAATAAGTATCTGAATTTTTAATATTTTTGATATTGGCCGTGCTCTGCTGGGTAGGTCTGGCTCCTTTTGGAGCCAGCAGGTAAGTCGGGACTCCATCGGACGTGTTGACTACACATTTATATACATAAATCATACCTTCAAAAAAGATCGAATTTCAAGGGAAAAATGCCGGTCCTTTAAAGTTAAGGAGGTTTATCTGATCTGGAATTGACAAACAAATATTCATTAAAAAAATTATATAAGCTTATTAATATGAAGAAAAAAACATTATGACCAGTTTGGATACCTAAGCGACAAGATAATTTTTCATGATTTAGTACCTACAGAGTCTTATGAGAGTGCAGATTTTTTTGGTATTTCCACTTAGAATGCGCAACAATTAACGAACAGTTTCCACAGCAACTTGTTTAAATAGGAAACTCTGATACCTAAGGAACCATATGCCAGCCCGCAGAAATCGATTAGGTACTTGTAAGGTACATAATTTATAATAATTCTCCTTCAAACTGCTGTCGTTCACTAACTTAACCTCCATTATGCGTGATAGCGGCAACGCCGCGGTTGTCGACGTAGCGTATTATTTGAAATTTGCAGGTATGACATATGATGTATATTTCAAGCTTAGGCATCCAAACAAACAGAATGATCGAACGCGAGCGAGCGAACGCTGAGCCTAGCGCGACAGCCAAGTGCAACGTTGCCAAATCTAAAGTCACTAGCTAATCTATACAGAAACTCTCATTTGACTTTAGACCCGATAAACCTCCTTAAGAGCAGTCCCAAGTAGGTAAAAAAGCTTCACTGCTCCCAATTTTACGATTCCTTTGCTTCATATTTACAGCTTCAGTTGTGTCTTTATCACTTTTTCCCTCAATATTTGATATTTCAGTTTCACTGTTTTCTTTAATTTCAGTAACTACGTCATTTGTAATGTTTTTTAGATGTTGGGACTTCCTTTTTCAGAACTTTTCTACGGTTGTGACTTGTTCAATCATAGCAACATCTTCAGAGAGCGTCGACATTTAGAGGAGGTGGGATATGAATGTCTTAGCACAGCGGTTCTTAACCTTTTGTTTATCGCGGACCTTCTTTCAATTTTTTTTTTGTTGCGAATCCCCAGTTACTTGCTTAGAATAAGTCCCAATGGGTTTGAAATATTAATTTTAAATTGTACACCAAATGTAAATTTTGGAAAGATAAACAATAAGTTACACTCCGGCATAAGAAAGTGCAAATTAGTTGTTAATAGTGATTAAATGTTCCTAAAAGCTTCGCGGATACCTTGGGAGGCAGGCGGACCACCAGGGGTCCGCGGACCATAGGTTAAGAACCACTAGCTCAGCATATTTTGGCTTAATATGAAGTAGAGATGGGCACTTTTCGAAAAAGTGTGTTACGGACATGTCGAGAAAAGTACTTTTGTCCTTGCATCTAATAAAGCACCAATGAGTGACGTCATGTTTTCACAGGTCACTGCTTGAGGGTACACAAAGCAAAATATTACTTTTATTCCAATGAATATGTCAATATATTTTACTTATTACCTACGTTTACACTTTTTTATAAACTGGTTTCTAATTTTCCCCGGACAGCCAATACACTTATTTAAATGTTTTTCCATCCTATTGGAAATCTTAAAAGTTGTTTTTGAGCAGAAGTTACATTTATAATGATTTTTACTCAATTCAAAAAAATAACCAAACTGTTGATTTTGGCGTCATACTTCATTTATAAACTATTTGTGTATTAATTATTAACAGGGTTCATAGTTCAAAAGTAATAAAGAATTCCCTGACTTTTCCAGGTTTTCCCTGACAAAAAAAAATCCAGGTCATTTGTAGTTCATTTTTACATACTAATTGGTGTTTATGCATTAAATTTTTTCTCGACTGGACTCCATAATCTTTTTTACACCCTAACAACCTCTTATAAAGGTTTCAAAACCACAAATAGTTTTCTCTTTCAAGAACCCAGGGCCGTCTTTCTCAAAATTTCCAGTTGCAAACATCAAATTCTCTGACTTTCATGAATATTTTTAAAATTCCCTGACTATTCCCTGTTTTTTATGAAGAATAACAAATTCCCTGACTTTTCCCGGTTTTTCCGGCCACTACGAACCCTGCGCGTACAACTTTTCAATCTTGAAAAGTGTCCTCAGGATATGTCCACTTTTCACGTGTCCGACGGACATGTTCAGCTGACATGTCCGCGATACATCACTAATATGAAGTTTCAGTTTTTAGAATTTTCTGTGTGTATATTTATCAATTAAATACATTTTGATTATAAATGATGAAATGAAATGAAAACCTTTGTAGAATAATAACTCATTTATTTGTTGTTAATTTAACAACATACAAAAACAATACAATTAATGCAGAATGAGATAAATTTTTCAAAATCTTCATAAACAGTGGACTTAAGCAATACATTTTTATATATTTTATTACACAGATTGTCTAAATATGAATTAACGCACAAATAACAGATTTTCTATAAAATGGAGTTAACTTGAAACTCAAATTACTTTTTGTTGTAAAGAAATTTGTAATTTGCCGCTCTTGAACAAGCGGCATCGTAAATTACAAATTTCTTTACACCAAAAAGTAATGCGTGTTGCAAACTAACTCCATTTTATAGAAAATCTACGTTAAAATGGGGGAAAGTCTGTTATTTGTACATTAATTCATATTTAGACAAACTGTGTAATAAAATCTATAAAAATGTATTGCTGGTTGCCTATTTGCTATAGAGCCCTCTTGAAAGGCTGTTGCAACAAATTTATGAAAAATATTTACAGAATAATTACAATTTTGGGGAAAAGTGAACCCCTTCTCGAAATATTAAAAATATATTGTAAATGGTACTTTTATACTGCTATTCTGTATTCTTCAACATTTACAATTTTTTTTAGTAAATGTAAGCAACATATATTGCAAGAAGTATTAGTCATAGAAAAGCAAACATTTTTTTAAACGTTACGTATATATCTTGTCATATGTTTTTATCACTAGATTTATAGAACTGTGAGAAAATTACAGAACAGCACTATTATTTACATAAATAAACAGTGTTATGAAATAGTTTTGTGAAAAAATCTGAAAAAATTATTAAATATTATAAAAAAGAATATGAAATTTTTGCATGAAAGTGCGATGAGTCAAAAACAAAATAAAATTTTAAATTAATTCAACCAGTTACTTTTGTATACTTTGAAATGTTACATTATTTTTGAAGAGACATGCATCAGCAAATTTGTTGGAGGTGCAGGTCTAAACATAATCAAAAAAATCTCCACCACTTCCAGATACCTATAAAATACCTATTTTATACCGAGTGTCCCATTTTAATTGATACACGTAAATATCTCGTCAAGAAAAGCCACCAATCGAAAAATGACCTACAGTAAAAGTTGTTCAGTTCATGGGGGGAAACCAGATGCTTACCTAGGATTTGACCTTGACCTCACCTTAAAGGTCAATTGAAGGTCAGTTTCGGAATTATAAAGAGAACCCCCTATTTTTGACCTTGGAAATGTGATCACAACTTTGACCTTGAGGTCAAGGTCACGAGTTTAAATGATTAGTCACCCTTAAAGCAGCCTCGGAATAAGATGTTCACCTCCAGAATCGATGGGATTTACATCAAGGTACTCAATCAAGATTCGTCCTTGACCTCCACTTTGTCAAGGTCAGTTGAAGGTCAACTATAAAAATCGACCTTCATGTCTACAAATGTTGCGAAAGATGTTCGGGATTGAATTTGAAGGTTCACTTTCTTTTCTTTTCGGACAGGACGTGTATTACCTAGATCAAATCTTGGGAAAACGGTAAATTTGTATCCAATTACGCTGCAAAGTAAGGGATCAAATAAAAAGTTCATTTGAAGATCAGGTGAAGATTTAAATCCAGAATACTAACGTAATTCAATGGCTCACAAATAATACTGTGATATTATTTCTTCTCAATTTTTCACCGTCAGTCAGTTTTACTTTGTAATGTACTCAGATATCTCTTTTTTCAATTCTCAAGCGAAGTTATACCTTCGTTGAGTAACAAGATATTTTTATCTCCCCTCACTCATTTGTAGCATTATTTTTTCCTGCAATTGTTATAGTCGACCTTCAAATGACCTTGACAAAGTGGAGGTCAAGGACGAATCGAAGGTCGTGATTGAGTACCTTGATGTAAATGCCATCTATTCTGAAGATCAAACATCTTCTTCCCAGGCTGCTTCAAGGGCGACAAATCATTTAATCTCGTTATGACCTCAAGGTCAAAGTTGTCATCACATCCGGATGTAAAATTTTCTGTTGAATCCATTTCCAAGGTTAAAAATAGGGGGTGCCATTTAAAATTCCGAAGTTGACCTTCAATTGATCTTCAAGATGAGGTCAAGGTCAAATCGAACGAAATATTTACGTGTATCAATTAAAATGAGACACCTGGTATAAATCGATCTTAAAAGTGGTGATTTTTAGAAGAAAAAAATATTTTTTTAAATCAGCACACTTAGTGTTTTATTTTCCTAGACAAATCCCGAAAAAAAATTGTCTATTTCTTTTTTAGAAAAATAAAAATTCGATAATATTTCGTATAGGCATAATTTTTATTAAAAACAAAACATGATTTATATTTATAAAATAAACTACGATATCAACATATTTTAGAGCTTACGCTCATTGAAAAAAAGAGTACTCTCACGTAACACATAAGTCTCAGAAATAGTTATAAACATTAAACCACCCTAAGAGCAGTCTCCAATGGATAAAAACAGAACCGCATTATTGCACCCCATTCAAATCCTTACAAGCGTTCCATTTCTGCATTTTATATACAGGCAATGCTCTCACCAAGGAACTTTATCCTTTAAGATTCTTAACACACTTTTAATACCTACACTATTCCGAAGTGTCACCATTGACAAGTCCAAATTTATTCCTAACTAGCTTATCTATTTCTTCAGATCTTTGGAGGCAAACTTTGATCTTGAACATCTTCATCAGGCCAGGTGAAGAATGAAGATCATTCATGGTCAATGACGTCATTTCTTCATTTCTCTCATCGCTAATATTCTTCGTATTCACATCTTCAGTTGTATCACAATTTTTTTCAGTATTGGATGGTTCAGCTTCACTTTTCTTCTCTTCACTTTCAGTAACTGTGTCGTTTACAATATTTTCTTTAGATGTTTGGTCTCCATTCTTTTCAGGACTATCTTCAATCATAGTAACGTCTTCGAAATGCTTTATGGCAGTTAGAGGAGGAGGTGTGGGTGGCGGTATAGGGTCGTCGGGTATTGTTATACATTCCGAGGGAACGTTTTGTAATGCAGATAGCGATTTCACTCTGAGGAACACTTTTGGTTTCTCCTCGCTGCCGCCACTACTACTAGTACTTGGAATCGGTTGTAAAGTGGTGGTGGGAACTATAGGAAGAGAATTTTTCTTTGAAGAAACTGGTGAATTTAACAAGGATACTGATGGTGTGAGGTTGTTCGTTGCTATGAGACTGTTTGATGTAACAAGTGGTGGGGGTACAGGCGAAGTCGTAGGACTTACAAAAATTACGTCGTCGTCTTGAGCCGACGTCGAAGGCAGTGGTCGTGGCTGAGGTGGTTTCGGTGGAAATCTGATATTTTTGATACCTAGAAAATGTTAATGTTTTAGAATTGCTGGTCTTGCTGCAATCTGAAAGTGTTACTCTCAATTTTTCCTTTGAATTTTTTCCACACAAAATAAATTTATCTATGTTTTCAAATATTAATTACTGTTGTTGTTGTACTACCAAATAATTCTTTGCACTTTAGTAGTAACTTATCACCATCAATTTTTTTTTTTAATAAAAATGTGGACATCCCCCCCCCCCTAGTTTGCACGTCATGGGTTATAAGCTGGATCAACTAATAACCTCAAATAATCATGTTCCTGGTAGTAACTTATCGTCCAAAACTTATCCCTCTCCTTTAAAGCAGTTAAAAGTTATTGGCAAAAACTCATTTATTTAAAGTCATCTTCAAAACGCGTCTACCTCCCGTACAGTGGATTTGCGGACCATGTTTATATGAAATTTTTGTCTTAATTTGAGTCGATAAATCTACCCGCAAAGGGAAGTACCACTATTTCCGAACACCCTGTATAAATAATAAAATTATAACTCAATAATATCACACTTTTTCTCGTTTGAAATATTCATTGTCTTTGGCAATTGAAACAACTTTTAAGAAAGGAAAGTAACTGTCAAATAATGCTACAGTAACCAAAGTGTTGTTAGTAAACATTTCGATTGTTTTCACAGCTATCAACGAGCAACTGAAATGTTAAGAACAGCTGCAGTTCTCCCATTTTTCAAAAGAACAATACCAAATATTATATCGTTGGAAAGCATAAAACAGACATTTTTTTCTAGCTCACAGCCAACTATGGTCTACATTAAAAAAATTTATATACTTGAAAACGAAAGTATACACGAACAATTTGATCACACTGTCATATTAACACTAAAAAAAACCTGAAACTTTGTAATTTAAATTTTTTTTTGTAAAATAAATAGCAACGGGGCTACACGCATCTGAAGGAATTGGCCAAATTCGGATTTTTCCAAATATCTAGTCAGCCACGACGTTTTTTTCAAAAAATAAAAATAACATTTAATAAGGATCATAAAAGTGCACATCTTTCCTAATGTAAGCTTTTTTGTATCTTTGTTACTTTCCCAGATCCCTACACTAAACATCGCAAAAAACTCACCCTGTATAGTATAGAATCAAGGAAAATTATTTCCAAAACCAACTAAATTTACAACTTACTTTCAAAACCGGTCAAATCCAAACAATTTTTGCAAAAATCTCCCCTATAATTTTCAATATCTTTTTGAATTTACATACATTGTAATGATTGAATTTTTTATTATTTTATGGTACAAAAATTTTTGTTGACAGTTCGTGCATCATCATGTACTAATTCGTTTTGTCTTGAGGTAAAAAATGACTAGATGGATTTAGCCACTTTTGGAAATAGACAACTAAGTTGCGCATGACAAGAGCCTTAAAGCATAGTGTATTGTGTCTCTAGACACTCGAATCACAATGTTGTAATTTTTAAATAAGGGGCATTTCACGTAAAGCTGGCAGCGAAAAAAAGTGACGTTCTGAAAGTTGTTCATATTCGACTTAATTGTACTTCTAGTAGGTATGAATGTGAACACAAATTTTTTTTGTATGACGTTTATTTGTCTAAAGAATTGTCATAATTGAAATTCGTATTATTCGGAAATAGTTTTTCGAATTAAACTAATTTATTTTATAATATTAAATATGGCAACTTATATAGAAAATTTACTGTTCTTTTTAATTATAAAATGATACTGGAAAAAAAAATCAGAATTTCAGTAACTTCGACCGATGTTTTTTATTTTTCTTATTTTAAAATATAGCCTAAAGTACATTTATAATACACCAGGAGTTTTAAAATGCCACATTTAATATTATAAAATATTACGACAATTCTTTTAGCAAATAAATATCATACAAAAAAAATTGTGTGTTCACATTCATACCTACTAGAAGTACAATTAAGTCGAATATGAACAAATTTCAGAACTTCACTTTTTTTTTGCTGTCCGCTTCACGTAAATGCCCTATAAGCCAATTAGTGTCTAATTTTCGAAGAACACATCTTTATACACTCATATTCATTACATCTGACATGTTAATCCTTTCCGGATATGTCTGCGAATAGCGTACTTTTTTAAATACTTAATTCAGAAGAGACTTAAAATCTACGTCATAAAACATACCTGCTATGAACTCGGTCCTCAAGTTCTTCCTTATTTGGATCAAGGAATTGATGGAAGTGCTCAGTATTTCCTGCAGCTTGTTGTGGACGACCGCCAAAGCCTCGACACTACTCGCCGTCGCCTGAGCCCTGTTCAGCTGCGTTAACGTATAGGAAAGATTGGAATTTACGCGGGCAGCGGCACGAACAGTTTTTTCGAACCACTCGTGTTTCATGGTGGGGCTAGTGCTGGTACCTGGCCGTATTTGTCTCTGCTGGAACGGCTGGGCCCTTACCGAGCTGGAAACAAACGTTTGGGCGGGTTGCCTTGGAGTGGTGGCACGTATGCCGCTCGGCATGATTTTGATGTAGCCTGGGCTGGAAGTCTGAAGGCGTATTCCTACAATGAAACAAAGAAACTTGTATGTCACTTCATGATTATTTACTATTTTTGCTTATTTAAAAGGTTAGAGAATTTTATAAGTTGATAAGAAAAATATTTGTTGTAGAGCAGCGGTATTCAAACTGTGTTCCGTGCAACCCTGGGGTTCCCCACGACTTTTCTGGAGGTTCTGCGACTTAGTCAAAAATTCAAAATTTTGAAATTAACAATATCGATACTACAAATTTCAAAAAAATTTATACTCTTACTTAAAACTTATTATTTTTATAAGTACACGCGTATAAGTTACTATAAGAGCTTAACAAGATGTATGTAGCAACAAAAACAAAGTATCGCGATACGCTTAATGCAGAATTTGAAATGCAATTGCAACTTACGACAATAGCACCTGATTTCAACACAATTATGTAAAATATTCAAGCATTCTCTTTACTCTTTTTTTTAATTATCCAATAAATATTTACTTTAAAATTTAGACTTAGTTCAATTTTTACTTAGTGGAATATTTATTTTGTTAATCCTAGTATTTATAAAAATATTATATAATTAGTAAAAAATGTGTTCAAAAATTTTTTTAGGTGTGGGGATTCCTCAAAAAAATCGAAATGTTGGCCGGGTTCAGCAAGTCTTAAAATTTTGGAGACCGCTGGTGTAGAGAATAGTTTGAAAAATAAAAATAACTGGACAAACTATAAACGTACAGGGCGTTTTTTAAATAAAATTTTGGCCATATCTTTCCAAAAAAACAAAGTAATGCAAAAAATTTGGTAGTTTGGTTTTTTGGACTGTTAAATACATCAATGTTATTAGTTTCGGATAATTGCTATAAATTGCTAACTACGACCTATTTCAATGACATTTTATACCACATTTTTTTTGAGGTTAAATTTTTTACAGTGAATGTATATTATACAACATTCCATTTTACCCAAGAAAAGACACTCTTGTTAATATTGCCAGAAAAGCATTGTTTTTGAAAAAAACGCAACTGACTGCGTCTAAGTTCCTTAGATGAAATTAACTGATTTGGATTAAATTACACAGGCCGACAATTTTCAAAATCAGAAACCGGATCTAGTGTACCCGAAGGATTTTTGTGTGCTGATTATGAATCCGAGCTCAGAACTGGCCCATCACCCTAGGTTCTCGAGATATTCTAACCTAAAAGTGCAAAAATCGCGTTTTTTCGCTATATTCTGGATCAAATCACGTGAATTAATTTTTTTCTAAAATCGCGTTAAACCATTTCAAAGTACCACTCTTTCTCTTCTAAGCGCACTTCGATTTTTTTGAAATTTTTTTTATTTCCATAGAGATATGATAGATTGAAGTTTAGTACTTCAGTGATTTCGTTACAACATGGAAATAAACAAAATTTATCAAAAAACGAGATATAAAGTACTTATATGTTCTTTCAGTCGCTGAATTTGAAAATACCGGCAGACCCGCCCCATAACCTCAATATTTCAAGATTTTCTAACCTTAAATTGCGAAAACACTACTATATGAAGCAGATACTTATAGTAGGATCGTATACGATGCAAAGTAGAGCAAAAAATTGTCGGCCTTTTATCAAAGATAAATTGTGTCATCATTTTTAGGAGGCGTAAGATAAATCATTTCAAATTTAAAATGAAATTCAATGTAAAATCTGAAATACCGCTGCATACGCACTGTGTTCTGGTAGTAGCTGTAGTCGCCCAGGTGCATCGAGTGTACGAACTGGTCGGTTATACGTCAAATACTAACCTGGCGAGCTTTGCCGTCAATTAGGGAGCGCTTCCAAAAAAGAAGTAAACAACAGTGGCGCGTACAGAGGTAAAATGTAGTACATATGTGGAATTTAGGAAACAAATTGGATTTATAATAAATTACATTTAAAATAAATAGTTTATGAGAATAAAGGAATTTTTGTAGCAACAAGGGTGCCAGACCTGAACTGATCCCCTCGTCCCTTCATAATGTATAAAGAAATTATTCAATTTGTAAAACCCTTAAAGGCGTACTTCATTGGTTCCCTTGACAGGCAATGATTTATTACTTTGCATCGAATATGATTGTACTATACATATACACGCTGTTATATTCGCATGCTAAGCTCATAACAAGTTCATCATAATGCGCTATAATCTACGACATGTTAACCTAAATGCGCAATAACCAGCAAGAATTAAACCCACGGCAGGTTAACCTCGAGAGCTAAACACGCGACAGGTAAATCTAAGTAAGCTATAACCTGCGATGCTAAACTCACAACAGGTAAACCTAAATGCGCAATAACCAGCGAGGGCTAAAACTACGATAGGTTAACCTAAATGCGCAGAACCCGCTAGAGGTTAACCTTAGTGCGCTGTTTAGCCCTCGCTGGTTATTGGGCATTTAGGTTTACCTGTCGTGGGTTTAGCGTCGCAGGTTATAGCGTACTTAGGTTTACCTGACGTGGGTTTAGCGCCTGGTTATTGCGCATTAACGTTTACCTGTCGTGGGTTTAGCCCTTGTTGGTTATGGCGCATTTAGCTTTACCTGTCGAGGGCTTAGCCCTCGCGGGTTATTGCGCATTTAGGTTTACCTGTCGTGGGTTTCGCGTCGCAGGTTATGGCGTATATACGTGTATACATAAGTATCTGCTTCATATAGTAGTGTTTTCGCAATTTTAGGTTAGAAAATCTTGAAATATTGAAGTTATGGAACAGGTCCGCCGGTGTTTTCAAATTCAGCAACTCAAGAAACATATAAGTACTCTATACCTGGTTTTTGGATAAATTTTGTTTATTTCAACGTTGTAACGAAATCGCTGAAATACTAAACATCATATATCTCTATGGAAAAAAAAGATTTTCAAAAATATCAAAGTGCGCTTAGAAGGGTAAGACGCTAAGAGTGGTACTTTTAGATGACTTAACGCGATTTTAGAAAAAAAATAATAATTCACGTTGTAATCTGACACTGAATATGCGAAAAACCGCGATTTTTGCACTTTTAGGTTAGAATATCTCGAGAACCTAGGGTTCAGAATCAGCGCATCCTTTGGGTACACTAGATCCGGTCTCTGGTTCTGGAATTTCGTAAAATTTTGTCAGCCTGTGTTATCTTGGTATAATTTTGCTTCTTTAAAAAATTATGTCGGTATTATTTAAAATGAAATAGAAAAACATTTTTTTTTTTAATACCAATAACTTTTTAGGGATGCAAAAATATACAAAAGTAACAACCTAAATAGGTTTAATTTCATCGAGCATTTTAAACGATTTTAACAAAAACAGTTGCAATATGAAATTTTACATTATAGTATACAACATAACCTACAAAGAACCTAATCTCAAAAAAGATATATCATAAAATTTCACTGAGAAAGGTAGTACCACACCTTCAGCAGATGATGAAAAATTTAAAACAATAAGGTATTTAGCACCCTCAAAGACTTACCTGTATAAATTGTTTGCATTCTATTGTTTTTTAAAAAATATATAGCAAAACTTGATTTTAGAAAATTATTTTTGACGCTTTGTTAATTATGAAATTATTTTTGCATAACCAAAAATTTCGCATCGATAAAGAACAGACAAAGAAAAATACACACTATATGACTTCACTTAGTAAACGTTCCAAAAATTATTTTCGTTTTTGAAATTACAATTGACCTTTCATTTTAAATGAATTTGACAGCTTATATTTCATTTGTTTATGTCTCCATAGCTGGAGATATTATGGAGGTATTATTGTGTTATTATTACTACTTCTCTCAACTTTTGTAGTCTATGAGGTTTTAAATTATTATTATTATTTAAAACATAATAGTTGTGTGTTTGCCCACTCTATTTATTTGCGTGCGGTAATCTTACTTGTCGCACGCGAATTGCCAATAAAACACGCAAATATGTGGTACTCATCGGAGCTTCGCACTGGACTCTAAGATTTTATTGCATTTGTAATAAAAAATAATATGTGCAATTCGTGCGATTGTCTATTGCCCACTTGAGCGGATGAGCGCACTCACTTTGTTCGTGTGCTCAACTCCGCTCTCGTGGGCAATATACAACTTACCACACTTATTGCACAATATACTATTGTTTCCCACTTTTTTATGTAATCTCTGTGTTCATCTATTCTAATATTGACCGAATTTTGATCAATATTTCGCAAAATTTTTGAAAAAACTATATTATCTGAAAAAGTGTTTTAATGTTACTTAAATTTGTTGCTTTTTTGTTTACATTTATAGCATACCTTGTGAATGCTATGTTAACTTCTACAGGGTGTCCCACTAAGGTCGGCGAGGTACGATATTAGAGAAAGTATACGTCCTAGAGCTTTGTGAAAAAAATTTTGATTGATAAATCGGCCGAAAAAAATTGCTGGAAATAGTTTTCAAATTCGTAGCTCGACCGCTAGGAGGCGCAATCTACATATCAAAATATAGAGCTGAATTTTTCTCAGAAATGTTTACTATTCAGGTATATTAACACGTTCGCTACCAAGCGTCTCATATATGAGCCACGACAATTTTTCAGGTAGACCACCGTCTCATATATGAGCCAGCAATCGTGTGTAAGTAAATATCCATTTAAAGTGCAACGGTCTGAAACGGCGGAGTACGATTTTAACACGATCTATAGAAATGCCCGTCTCATATATGGGACACATGGTCTGTGTGTAGCTTGCGTTGCTGGAGATATATTGTCATCAACAAGTGTTGTTTTGTATTTTGTTTTTTATGACTATGGTAGTCTCAGATCTTTTGAAAGTAGAGATAAGTACGTGCCATTACTTCACCCACAAATAAAATGCCAAAAGAAAAGAACCATTACCCTAAGAAAACTGAGAAGATCTGTTCTTCAAAAAAAAAAAAAAGATAAGTCAAAAAAAGAAAAGTCAAACTTTTTTTGTCTGTGATGAGATTGTAATTACAAAAATGGACAGACTGTTGGACTATGTGTAGACCCCTGCTTCAAAGAATACCATGAAGGCTAACTCTACTTTCCTTCTGAAATATTATCTTTTCATTTTTCTTTTTTTTACATAGAAATTCTAAGTGGCCATTCCTTATTTATGTAATGAATTGGAAATATATTGTTTAGTTTTTTTTCACTTTGTTTACCTCTAAAAGTGCTGAAAAACAAATACTTCACTCAAAATTGTTGCACTCTTTTAGGTCTCATATATGAGCCACTGGTCCATTTAGCAATTGTTTCCATTATAGACCAGTGTCACATATGTGAGCCGGATCAAAATATCCCAAAGGAACCCCATATTAATATTTTATACATATACATATCAATAAAAACTTCAATTTTAGTTACATTCATGTAAAAATGTATGCTTGGTCTCTGAGGTTGAAATTCAAATATTCCCTTGGTAGCCAACGTGTTAAATAGCACAAATATGGATAGCCGGATTCATTGCGCATAACTTTTGATATTGACATTTTGTTCTATCTCTCAAGAGAAAGGGTAGGGGAAGCCTCTAATGTTTAATCAGAAAAACGCATTTTTTGAAGAATTGACTTATCAAAAGCCCAAAGTGTTATACCTCGTTGGAAAGGTCTTTTCATGCTTTATCTCGTGTTGGTATGTAGATTGCTCCCCCTAGCGGCCGAGCTACGAACTTGAAAAGTATATCCAGCGATTTCTCTTGGCTGATTTATTCATCAAAATTTTTTTTTCCGAAGTTCTAGAGCCTATACTTTCCTTAATATCGTACCTCGCCGACCTTAATGAGACACCCTGTATATATTACAAGAGATGAACATGGAGATTATATAAAAGGCTGGAAAATCAGAAATAAAAAATTACAAATACCCTTGAGGAAAGATTTAAATAATTCAACAAAGTTTCAAATTTTGGAAAAAGAAAACACTGATAAGCGCACCAAACGACTGAGTTCGAGAGCTGCCGGTGTAGATAAGACTATTTATTTGATTTAAAAAATGTTAATTTCAGGTTAGCATTCTTGGAAACGCATATTCCTACCTCTTAAAGAACTATCCCCCACTTAAACACCCTGTATAGATACTCGAGCATATGCAGATAAAAAAATAATGTAAAGTAATTATGTAACATACTACTTCAAAGAAGTAACTCTCATAAAGATTTTGTAATTTATTCTAAGAATCTTACCTGTTGAAATGCCCGGCTGCAGCGTTGGTCTCACTTGAGAAAGTGTGGACACCCTAGGCCTGAACGTCGTGTTCCCCACCTTAAATATACCACCAGGTGAAGCAGTCTGCGTAACCTGAACAACTCCCGCATTAAGATTTGGATCTGACGGTTTGGGCAATATAGGTACGACTTTAGCCGATGGGGAAGCTTTTATTTCGGGAGATACATTATTCGTTTTTGAGGTATCGACTAGATCCATTACTGGGTCGTAATCTGGATCAACCCACTTTTTCCTCTTCTTTTTCGGTTGCTCGGGCATATTCGGATCCACATATTTCTTCTTTTGGGCCAGGCAGCATTGTGTGTAATCGGTTGTCATGAATGATGTGGCATTCTCCAGTGTCGCTGCCCGACTAAAATTAAAAGCTGGTTGAAGGCAGTTTTCGAGAAAGTGCGAAAAGTATAGCCAATGAGGAACAATCGTCTTATACTCACGAAATTTCTCGTCTCACGTATTCCATAAATTCTGCACAATGGACCCGCAGCTGTGTTAGTTGGATTGGATTGCATCGGAAGCAGTACCAGTCATCACTGTCTCTAATTTCAGTTAGTTTTTTCCGGCCAAAATTGATGCGAATGCATTTCTAAAATAAATGTTAATGCATCACTTCAGTAATTTAGGAAGTAACCTTCTTGTTAAGATTTGTAAAATAAAATATAAGATTTCCAACAAATAATATGTAACTTTTCCTTCAAAATTTCCTTATACAGGGTGTCGGGCTTAAATGTAATACAAGCCTGTAACCTTATTTTTTGGCCGATTTCAAAAATTTTCATTTTGGAATGTGGGCTAAAAAAATTCTATCTAACCGTGATATTGCAGTTTTTATTAATGCATTTCACGGTCAACTAGGATGTGTTTTCTTGAAATCAAAACAGCTGATTAGTATCAGCGATTTGTTTTTTCAAAAAACAGATTAGGTATTGATACATCTTCAGGCGAGCACTCCATGATGTCGCGAAATGTAATAACAAGTTTGTAACTTGTAACAAGCTTGTAACTTTATTTTTTGGCCGATTTTAAAAATTTTTTTATGGAATGTAAGATAAAAAAACTATCTAACTGTAATACTGCTGTTTTTTATTAATGCAATACACGGTTAACTAGTACTCGTCTGAAGATGTATCGAATTTGATGAAACTTGGTGACAAGACATTTCAAGGGATGCTGAATGAGAATACGTAATCTGTTTTTGGGAAAAAATAGCTAATACCGATTAGCTGTTTTGACGTTAAAAAAACGCGTCCTAGTTGGCCATGAATTGCATTAATAAAAACAGCAGCATTACAGTTAGATATTTGTTTATCCTACATTTAAAAAAAAATTAAATCGGTCAAAAAATAAAGCAGCTACAGGCTTGTATCACATTTAAGCGCTACACCCTGTATATATTTTTTTGGTCCTTCGACTCATATGTTCATTTCCCCGTGTATGTACAAATACAGGGTGTCCCAATTGCATAAACAAAAGTCTACCTGTTATAGAACATCAAAAAATAAAAAAGGTTTCTATAACTATGTGACTGGAGGTGCTTAAATTGTGAAATATAAGATGAAATTTCTTTTAGAGGTTTACATTCCCAGAAAAAATAAGTGCTGGTAAAATCATTAGAAGTAAAAAAATTAATTTTAGGAATTATTTTACTAATGAAATAATCAGATTAGTTCTCCTTTAAGAAGCTAATTTGAGTTTAGCAAATGTTTTTTTCTAATATCTTTTTTATTTGCTTTTGTTGTTTGTTTTTAGTTATTGAAGTTAGTTATTTTGTTTCTTGTTCTTTACTTGCGAACAACTAGAATTTGTTATTTTAAATTATATATTATATTTACCTTTTGTTAATTTATGCATGAGTTCCATTAATTTTGAATTTAAGTGCATCCCTATCCATAATATATATTTTATTAAAATGTTATTTTCATAGTCATTAAGGTTTATTCCAGAAAAATATGTGTATGTATTTGGAATATTATTTTAGTATTTCATCAAGTTTGTCTTAAATTTGTATTTTTTTCAATGTTTCAATTTTTTTCCAATTTTTCAAATTTCCTGTTTATGAAAAAAACTTTTTTTTTCATGGGTTTAGGTAAAAACATCCCATCTTTGTTGGTTATATTTTTTTGTTTATTTAATACTACAACTTTAAAATTTTGACCTTTTTACAGAGAAACTGTCCAACTATTTAATTGTTGATGGGAAATATTAATAAAAAAAGTAAAAGCAAATTTTTGTGTAAAAAAAGTTCAATCTTCAAATTTCGGCCTCAAAAAAAAGATAAAAAATCACACCAAGAAAGATTGGGCAACATTTTACCTAAACTCGTGACCCACGTTTATCAAAATTGTTTTTGCTATTTTGAACAATCTGGCACGTTCCCATATGCAAATATACAAGGGTGTTGTTAAACATCATGATAAACTTAAATGCAAGACAGGTAATGATTATTTTATGCAAAAAGGTTTCTGATGTCCATGATTCTGAAAATGCTTTGCAAAAAAAGTTACAGGGTGATAAATGTGTTCTGTCAAAAATACATTTTTTGAAATAAGTCTACAATGGCTGATCGGATCCAAGAAATCTTTATACTATTGATTGCAATAATTATAAATCATTAGAATATTGATTGTAATAATTTGAAGGTACAGTCATTATTCAGCCAATGAGTGGAGGAGATGGTAACTGAGGTTTTTTTCATCCTAGAAAATTTTCCGCAGCATTGTGGTATACAGTATATGTACAAAAAGATGACCTAGGCCTACTTTGATATTCTGCTTGATGTTAAATTTTTCTCAAACTAGGTAAGGGACATCAACTCAATAACTTTTTTATCATGTCATACAGAAAGGGGACTTTATGAGAAGAAATTTGAAATCTAGCAGACATTAAAGTAAGTCTAAGACATTGAAAATTTGCATAAATACTTAAGCTTTCTGAGAACCTGGCACTTTATTTGCCAATACAAGGAGATTTTTTCAAAATTTCCAATGGCTTTGTAGATTTTACAGATTTAAAATCATGGCAGATTTTGTTTCACGATCCAGCAGGACTGAATCCCTAACGGGGGGCACACTCTATTTACCACAAAAAAAAAAACAAAAACAAAAAATGACCAACAATTTCCACATAATGGAATTAAAAAACTAAAGAGCAAACATCAAAATACGCCTAAGATATTGAAAATTTGCATAAATACTCAGTTTTCTGATGAAATGGCGTTTTATTGGTGAATACAAAGAGTTTTTTCTAAATCTCCTTGGCTTACTGGATTTTACAAACAAGCAAGGTTGAATCCTAGAAGGCCATATATTTCATCACCATTTTTTGTCACTCTAATTACAACAAAAATAAAAAAAATGGCAACATAACATCAATTTCAACACAATGGATTTAAAAAAATATACATATCTTACCTTACAAAAAACCATTTCACAGGCAGAGCAACACATGACCTGCCCACCCTGTCCACACCAACGGCAATAAAGTTCGCTTCCGTCTTCGTCTTTCTCAAATTCCCCGCTAGTATAAAAGTGGTAGCAATCTTTGCAAATCAGCACTTTTAACAGGGGGTGTACGAATCGATTGCCTTGGCCATCTAATGCACTGCCCAGATGAACATTGCAGGCAGTACAATGGATTTTTGTGAACTGTATAGGATTTTCTAAAAATATAACACATCAAGTAAAATAGAAATTGGTTTTCGGTGATTATTTCACTTACTTTCTCCATAATTGTCTTGCCGCATTTGGTGCTCCTCAGGTGTTAAATTAAAAGTCACTGTAAAAACATAAATTATTAAAGAATATAAACAGATCATGTTGTTTACCTTCAGCTCCCGTCATTTCGTCCACATAGGTTGAATACACAGGATCATAGAGCAGTGGGCTCTTATTACCATCTGAGGGAACATTATCTGGGAAACATTTCAATAAAAAAAAAAACATTCTTTACTCAATAAATAAAAATACCTGTGGTGGTTATGACTGGTGCTTCATCAACTTCCATTGCAATATCAGGACATAGCAGGGAGGGATCAAAGTCATCATCCATGTCTATTTCTTCATTTCCTTGAAATAAATTTACATTAATTAAAAAAAAAATTGTATGAAAAATTTTTTACAAACCATTTTCACTTTCTACTTCTTTATCTTCAGTGCCATCATCTTTCTTCTCCTTCGTCAAAGTTTCTTTTAATAATGGAAAAATTTCACTAGGAGTCTTTTCTAAGTTCTTTTCCTCTGTAGCTGTTTCTTTCTCTTCTGGTGCTTCATCAGGTTCACTGCTTTTATCTTTGTCATTTTCCTCCGCAATCTCTTTAACGGGATCTTCAGTTTTTTCATTAACAGAATTTAATTCATTATTACTGTCTTTATTGCCTTCCTCATTTGTTTCAAGTGGATCAACGGCTTCACTTTTGTCTTCACTAGTTTTCGGACTGTTTGTTGTATCCACATTTTCTTCACGTTCCTGTGAATCATTTTTCGTATAAATAGTGTCAGTATCCGACACATTTTCTATGCTTTCATCATGTTCCTTATTTGGTGAATCATGTTTCTCTTCATCATTTTTTAAGGAACTCTCTTCATCACTTAAATGATTTTTTTCCTCTTCTTCCTCATAATTGGTACTTGAGACATTAGGGCTATTTATACTTTTACTAACAGTGTTACTAATTTCATTTTCATCTTCTAAATTGCTACCACTATCTATTTTATTCTCACTACTAGAAACAGTCTCATCACAATTCTCCTCAGTATCTACAATATTAAAGTTAAATTTATATCAAATTTATAAATATCATTATACTTGCCTTTCTTGCATGAAGAACTCACTGGTTCTGCAGAAATATCTAAAAATACATGACAAATAATTAATTTGTTAGTAAATACCAAACAACAAACATAACCTATATTGCTAAATAATAGAATTATTTATGTAAATATACCTGACTCTGCCTCGTTAATATCATTATTGTGCAATGAATTTGAGTTGTCATCTAAAAATGATTAATAAAGATTATTTATAAAATATACAGGGCTGCATTTTCAAATATTACCATGATTTTGAATGTTAAGATTAACATCATCTAAAATATGTTTATCTTGAGGTTGCTCATAGCTGCTTAAAGTTTCTATAATAAAAAAAAAATAGATATATTTAGTTTATTTAACATTATACATCATTTGAAAAAATTACCTGTTTCCATTTTATATGTTGAGGTTATCTTTCTCACCACCTATAAATTTATGGTAAGTTTACATTTCACAAGTGACAATAGACCTGTCACTTCACATTAGAAAATTCACAATAATTTATATTACACAGTACTTCCCTAGATTTTTAGCATTACCCGACATTAACTTCACGATATAAAAACAAATTTCAAGAAAATTGCATAGAGTTCATTAATTCAATGTACAGGTTCGTAACACTGCATTTCATAAAGACAGGCGCAGGGAGCAACGGTGATGTGGTAACAAAATTCTAGAAATGGCGGGATAAGCAGCGTTTTAGTAGTTGTTTTCGGTTTCGGAAACAAGTATCGACTAAAATGCTCCCAAACAATATTCCGCACGTATGTCGTAGACCTGTTCGTCGTTCTCCATCATTAGTGCGATGTGACGTAACATACTATAAAAGTGACGTCACAGATCAGTCACAAAGATGTCGCTACTGCAGAAACAAAATGGCGGTATGACAATTTGATTGGCAGGAATATTAATTTTGAAAATTATAATTAATTTAAAAAGGTTAATATTTATGTATGATATTTATAATTACCTTTATTGTTAAAATGGTTATAAACAACAATGACCTCAAATAATCGATTTTTAATTACAGCTGTCAAAAATATTTTGACAGTTTTTGAAATTTTTAATATTTTGACTTTTCATTTAAGAATTCAATAACAACTGTAATTTTGTACCGAGTTTTGGTTCTAGTTAAGTGTTTGACCTTCTCTCAACTTTTAGCACACGTTCAATTCATTACAAATGTCAAAACATCAAATAACAGTTTTCTTTAAAATAATTTTGATCTGTGTATTTTGATTCAGTGGCGCAGCCATAAGGAAGCCGAAGAACTTTAAAGAACTTTTTTTAAGACAATTTTCACTTCACTTCAGCTCCCCCAAACTTAATTACTGATGAATTTTTTATAATTTAAAATAGATAATTGTATGTGCTTTACTTATCAAATTATAAGTTCTATCCCCCTGATTGCGGTCCTGATTACACAGAAAAAATAATATGAAATTTTTGAGTACTAATCTTGTATCTAAACAAAACTTCACTCATTATATGAATAATCATTAAAAATTTTGAATAGATGTGAATTTACTTTTTATTTTTAATGTCTTTTTAATCGGACTAAGCGCAGTAGTTTGTAGAGAAATGTGAAACATTATTAAAGGAACGGTCCTGTATTTTTCAAAATTGAAAATTAAAACTACAAACACCTTTCAGGTTAACCCTTAAAGCCAAATTAAATGGATATTCAGGTTTTAAATATTTTAAATAACCATTGCCAGAGAAAAAATAAAAAAGGGATAAATTTCAAATTGTAAGATTTTGCTGTAATGTTTAAAAAATTGAAAAAATCAAAATTTAACAGAAAATGAATATATGTGACAGTAATTTTCGTTTCGAATAAAAAATCATCTTTTCTGATTGTTGTATATTTTTTTCAAATTGATTTGAAATCCACATCAAAAAGTTATCACTGTCTGCTTTAGAGATTGTCCTGATGGGATCGGATCTCCCATCTTAATAGTATATTTTAAAGAATCATATTATTTTCGATACCCTGTATTATTTTCTTTTGCAAAGTCTTATAAAAAAGAAAGATTCTCCTTTTTTTTCTTGATGCTCTAGAACATTAGACTTTCTCTTAAATTGTTTCTACGACTCCCACCAATTTAAAAATCTCAAATATCTTGTCAGTTGTGAGTGTTATTTATAGACCTTTTATTTACATTTTTCTAGTAAACTGCATTTTGATGGATCAAATCTTTTGAATCGCAATGATGATAAAGCGTAATATAAAAATATGTACATATTTTTGCTTCAACATTACAGATTTCAGTATTTTTAGAAATTAGATATTAATTTCTAAAGGTATAGTTCCTTGGATTATTTAGGTTCAAAGAAAAAGCCATACCAATGGTCCAAAGCCATTGATTTCAAGTTCAGCAAAATACTATTCAACTCTTTTGTAATTTTAATCACTCCATGTTGCAAATGGTTTGCTATATCTCTAGTTTCACTGTTTTTTTGGCTAACATATTTTTTGAGCAGTTTTTAATTTTTGCTAGTGTACCAATTAATCCAGAAGAGTTTGGGGTATTATCAAATCCTTGACAAAATTTTGCGCCAGAGATAACAGATAAATAGAAGAGACTAATTTTGACATAAAAAAATTTGATATTCTATGTAGTAAGAGCTTGGTTACAGCCATATGAATATATATTTACCTATTTACTCATATTGCCATTTACTATAAGCACATCAATCGGGCCGAATTCCAGGAAAGGTATAAACTTCTTTAATTGCCTACCACTTTTCATTTTTTTACATACTGAGAGAAATGTTAGTTTTAATATGTTAATTGGTAGTTGGAAAATGTACAAAATATAACACTTGTGAAAGAAAATAAGGATAAGTTCTTTTAATGTTCATAAATGATTTTTTAATTAATGCATAAAAGAAATCGTATGGTAGGTACTTCATTGCCCGTGCCTCTGATGATTTATTGACAAATCAGTTATTGGTTTAGTTAATCAGTAGGTATATATTTTGAAACAGTATAAACAGGCATGCTTCATAGTTTAGGAGTACCCATATACTTTGTTTCTAAAAATAAATAAATCTCCTTCTTCAATTTGGAAAAAAATATAGAAATGGCCTACCAAGCAAGACATTCTTAATCCTTCTAACAGGAGTTCAGAAAACCACGCATCACCAGCACACATTTCATATTTCATCTCTCTCTAATCCAGTGGTTCGTATCGTGTCGAGAAACCTTGAGCGGCTTTTGAAGTGAGCAAACCTCGACATACGCGTAGTCTACTTTGGATTGTTGCCAGGCGGTGGAAATAAATATAGAGTCGTCTCAGCCGACCGGTGCCACGTCCCATTGCTCGCTTCGTGTCGGCGTTTCGTTCCCAATATAATCAACTCGTCCGTCAAGGTTAGCCTGTGACGACATCGAGCGGCCTGCGCGCGCAGCGTCTAGAGAGTCGAGCGCTCGTTACTTTTCGTCACCGTACTGATGAGTCATCGCTGCAGAGGTTCGTTTAGCTGCGCGGTTGACGATTTTTAGATTATTTAAGAAAATTGAAAAATGACAATTGCAGTAAATGGAATATACCTTCAGAGAACTTATGCTTCTTTAAGCAGATGAAGTTGGTTGATGATGTTGACTGATTATTTGAACAACGTTTCGGTTTTTAAACTAGAAAACATCATCAGGGATTTCTGGCGGGAAATTTGAAATTCCCTTAAATTTTAAATGAATTATGTGTTGTCTGTTGAAACAGACTAATAAGTATGCGATCGGAGAGCTTTTTTGAACGAGACGTCCTTACGTTCTTACGTAGAAAAATATTCTTATTTTTTTAATATGGAAGCTTTACAAAAGTTGTAAAATGTTAAGATCTTATTCAACACGTTTACTTATAGAACAGACACAAAGTTTTCTATAAATTTTTTCAAACATTTGATTTTTATGTTGGGAAGCATTGTCATACATCTTTAGCGGGAAGTTTGAAATATTTTTTACTTCTTAGTATATCTCCTTGAAATTATGTGAGTTTCGAAGTCTGTCTATTCACAAAAGTATATTTTTGTTAGCAACAATATTCAACTTATTTTTTACAAAACTGTATTTTGTAAATGTTAAAATCTCAGTTTACTTATTCTTTCAAAAACAAATAAAATCCATTCAAACTATGTATTTCATATAAAAAATGGTGTGTAGGAATAGATTGGATGCAGGGGGGATCAATTGGTACCATTATTATCCATTCCTCTGGTTGCGCTTCTATTTCTTTTAATAAGAATTGGTCAAAAGTTTGATGGTATAATCTTATAAACAGGTGCAAAATTTCAACTCACCGTGTTAGAAAGCAAAGGAGTTATGAATAAAGATCGTTTTTAAAATCTTATTTGTATCACCCTGTATTTCGAAAACGTGGCATCCAAATTAAAAACGACATACCTTATGAAAGTTCCATACTATATGGATAGAAATTTTAATTGTGAATATTTTTTCTCACGCATTACGCATTATAATATAATTAGGATATTTTTGTATTCTTATATTATGTATATTTTAATATTTACATTTTTAATTGATCTCAAACCGAAGAACATATTTTTACTTTATATTGGTTTATTTGCACCTTTCTTTTGTGGTAGATAAATTACGAATAACGAAATATGATGCATTTTCCATGCATTTCTATTTTTTTGTTTTACTACGAAGTACAGTTTTAGTTATTTCATAAGGCAAAAAAATTTTCTCAATTTTTCACCTCAGTTCTGAATTTTTAGCAACTTTGTTCTGAAAACAAGAAATTAAAAGTTGGCAATCCTAACAGTAGGACGAAAAAGGTTTTAATTTATATACAGGGTGTCCGGAAAGGTCATGAAAAAAATGAAGGGGTATACAGGGGAGGTCAAAATAGATGTAGTACTTCATATACAATTTTTTCCTATTATTATGGAATTATTAGCCTTCAAAGGAAGAAGTTTGAAAAACAAATTCCAATTTCTAAGTTGTTACCATAGTAATGTTAAATTTCAAGTTTAAACTGATATTCAATATGCCTGGATTATACAGGAGCAGACGAACTTATCCATTTAAATTTATACATCTTTGACAGCGTTGCCAAATTTGGCATTTTTCTTTCATAGTTCGATTCCTCTCTCACTTTGCTTAAAAAAAGGTATACCGTATATCAGTTGATATCTTGTACCGTTTTTGAGAAAATCGAATATTATTAACAGACCTTTATTGTATCAAAAATGCGATATTAACATTTTTGTAAAAATGTTGGTGAATCTTTGAAGGTGATTAACTCCACAACGAAACCCGATAGGAAAAAAAATATATGAAGTACTACATCTATTTTGACCTCCTCTGTATACCCCTTCATTTTTGACATGACTTTTCTGGACGCCCTGTATTTATCTACACAATACTGGGTGTAACGTAAAGGTTGGGAATAAATTAAAGGGTGGATTTTTTTGGTTTAAAAAATATATTTTTCTCATATGAAGTTATGCTCTACGAGTTTTCCTTTCCAAGTTACAGGGTGCTAAAAAGTATCAAAAAATTTAGTTTTTCTCCAATAACTTTCGAACATTATAAGATAATGGAATGAAATTTTAGCCTTAGCTTAATTTGATAATCCACTAGTAACAGGAAAGAAATTGACTTTGTTCTCAGTGGCGTGCGTACGAATTGTACCGTAAGGTTTTTCGAAGAAAATTGTGGTACGCCACTGGTAAAAACATTTTTATATTATTTTTTATGATTCACTTTTTTTTAAACAAAATTACCCTCTTACGTTTTATTTCTAGCTCTTGTAATTTTTCCGTAAATAAAACTTTTGTAAATACCATTTTTTCCCACTGCTAACATAGGAAATTAAAAATAACAAAAAGTATGCTTTGAAGTGCATGCATGAAGTATGCTTTGACTCAGCCACCTAACATGGTCAAATAGGCATTGAAAAAAGATTTTTGCATTGAAAATGATACTAAAAACCTAAATTTTTGAAATTTTTGAAATTTTTTAGCGCCCCGTAGCTTGGAAAAGAAAACTCGTAGAGCATAATTTTATATAACAAATATTTATTTTTTAAAACAAAAATTCCACCTTTTAATTTATTCCCAACCTTTAAGTTACACCCTGTATACACAAGGTTATAATTTGATCCCCCACGTCGACACAGTATGTAATAGAGGAAATATTTTTAAAAATCCGTATTTCATATGTTTTCGTAGTGTTTCTCCTTTTATTTAGGGAGGGCTGCGTGTTACTGATGATACCATCGCTTTTTCAAGATACCGCTTGTACCCCTTTGTAAATTCATTATTGGTTTCTTGATAGATTAGACAAAGAAAAAATCTCGTATTAATCAATTAAAATATTTATTGGGAACATAAAAAACATATTTTAAATAAATTAACAAGTCCACATTTAACATTATTCTTACTAGTGTGGTTCCTTCATAAGTGCCATTTGTAACAAGGGTATGACTGCTATCGAAGATAAGTCAGCGAGGACAGCCTCGACGTTTTGGAGGGTGCTGACTTTCATTAAATTATCTTTTCGAAAAATGACGATCACCACAGCCAAAAGGGGTATGATTTCTAACGAATCGTATGCAAGGATTAGGTCCCATAGTGTCAGAAGCTGCTCGGGCGGCAAATGGCCGCTAAAGCCTCGCATCATCCATTTTATAACCACCCTCAACCTGAAAGTAAATTTAAATTCCCTAAAGCAAAGTTATTCTAATTGTAATAACGAGTGATGTGGTAGCTCGCAAAAGTAACGTTATTGCCGTTGTAACCGGGTTTGAGTCGAACACAATATAGATTTCTCAGTCAGTGTTTATTAGTTTCGGAAGATTACAAGAAGTCTACTTTTCTGCCAATAACAAAAGAATGAACTTTTAAATCTGGTATATTACATTATTATATTCATCAATGCTCATTTTTTTGTACTATTTATACTTGTATGTATAATATTGTATCGTTTATGTTCGTTACTTATACAGGGTGTCTCATAATTAGCTGCCAACCCTGAACAGGCCGATTCTATGATCAAAACTAAGTAAAAAAGTTCATATGAACATGGGTCCGGAAATGCTTCCTAAGGGCACAGGGACCCATTGTAGAGGGAGTAATGGAAATAATTTTTTTGCAATATCTCTCAATCGCGTTGTGATAAATGAATGAAATTTGGTATACACAGCTAAATTTTGATGAGCAATTT